TGGTCCGTCGATTCGTCAGCATAAGTTAAAGATGCTAATATATTTCATAGACTGTGGGTGACATCCACTTAATAATTACATGGCCCTATATGCTCGTTCTTTTGTCAGCTTATCCTAACACGATGCCTAAGTAGACGTATATTCCTCTACAAACACTGGCTTGTCATGTATAATCAGACTTATAATAAGACAATCCTATTGTAGTTAGATTTTTTTTGTTATATTAAATGTGCGAGTCCAATATAAGAATATGTCCAACTTCACCAAATTGGATGTATAGTTAGACCCTTTTGCCGCTTTGGCCAGAGATGTATATCTGAGCGCATGATGAACATTTTCTGGGTTTTGGGTCAGCCGGTGTGGGTGACGGCGATCAATATATGACTTATGCACATTACATCATTATCGAGACAATTATTGCACAAACAATTCTTTATGACCATCCCTACAGCTGGTTATATAAATAAAATCAATCTAATGGCAATGATTGACATGAAATCATTGAAAATATTCGTTCAAAAGTTGGGTGTGAAAATTAGGTAATCATATGGGCACGTGCTTTTTAAACGCCTATTAGCTATTTTAAGCTTCTATACAATCATCCGGAAGTTGGAATTTTTAACCTAGTAGTATATATTGTTTAGTTCAAATAAGACTTGTATCAACTATATAATTATGAACTTTCTCATCCTAGGTACGCAAATGAGTGATTGGTAATCGTATTATGTTGACATTTGCGGATTAGAATTTGATTAGTTGCGGCATAATTCTTGCCAAGCTTTGTGCAGTCGACTAAGAATTCTAGGTCGAGGAAATATATTTTTTATAGCTGTATTTTGTTATAAATGAGAGAGAGCAAGTGGCGCTTTATATAAGTTGATAACTAGCGGAAACCCTGTTGTCGTTTGTGATTTGATTAAAAGGTTTTGTTCCCTTGTTCCATCATTCAATTGAATTATGTTTTGGTTAATGAGGAGTGAAAAAACGAATACTGATTTGTCTGGTCTTATTAAAAGCATTCGTGAATTGTTGGCGTCGTTTTATATTGTTGGTAAATGTTGAAGTATCTAGGAGGAACTAAATGATGAAAGAATGTGAGTATGATTATATATTATACATAAGTTTTAACAAGTTGTGCATCATATTGAAATATTAGGTATTCCGCTAATATTGTTCATTTCTGTCTACTGGGAGTCATAGATTTGATGTACAATATTTTACCTGTAGCACATGTTAACTTTAAATTGAACGGTTGGACAACACATAATAGCAAAATCCCGAACCTCCAGTTAACTATGGTAATTCATTATTAAAATATTGAGCTCCTGTAAAAAGTTACCAAAGTCTAGAGATATTTTTTTACGGGAGCACATGAAACTGTTGCCAAATCTGTTTGAGATATTCACATAGTTGTGAAAACATCTTTTAGCATTGTCAAGTCAACGTGCAAATAAGACAAATTTGCAGAAGTTAGAGATATCCTCTAGTGTATACCCTTCGATCAAGAACACTCAATCTCTAGCTGCAGTTTTCAGTAAAAGATGACGAAGATAGCTTGCGTTGCCTATATAATACGATATAGTGCATGCTCCGACTCTATAACTTGGTAATAATTTTTCTTCTACTTCTCTTTCTCTGCTCCGCTAGGTCTTCTTTCTTTCTTTTTTTCTCGAGATGGATAATCAAGAAACAAACCCTAGGACTCCCCACCTGAGGACTGTGGGATCGACCCGCAGAAGGCCGCTGATGATAGAAGATGGAGAGTCAGGATTTAATCTAGAATCTTGGTTGGTCAACCTAGACAAAGAACTTCAGCAAACTAAGCCGACTTATGATTCCGGGAGGTCATGGACCAGCCACAGAGTCCCCCGTAACCTTTGTCAAGTTCGAGACAGCGCTTTCCTTCCCAAAATCATCTCCATCGGCCCCTTCCATTACGGCCGCAAGGGGCTCGAGCTCATGGAGGACCACAAGGAGCGTTTCTTGATGCGCCTCTTGGGAATCAAGTTTGACCGGAGCGAGGACGACGATCAGTTTTCATCATCGTGTGACCATGAGAGGAGAAAGGCTCCGCAACTCAGGGATCTTGTAGATGCCATGAAGAAGTTGGAGCAGAGGACCAGAGGATGCTATTCTGTGGACTTCGATGCAACGAGCTCGAGTGACAAGTTCGTCTGGATGATGGTCCTCGACGGTTGCTTCGTGGTCGAACTATTGCGCTTGTATTACAAGTACGACAAGACCAAGGGGAAGCCCAACGAGGTAAGCTTTCTGCAAATGAGCTTGTCCAAGAATTCTTTTCTCCGGTGGTATTGCATATAATTGGAGCGATCTTTATTGACAAATTTAGTATCTCACCGTTAAGATATCTAAATATCAGGCTATTTGTCTCGTCTAATAAAACAAAATATTTAGAACAATTAGTTGTTGTTTCACAAAATTCTTCATGTATGATATCAAAGTGGGAGATCAAAAAATTCTTCAGGTATCTTACAGTGGTCTCACAAAATTCTTCACTCATATCCTGGGGAAGGGCTATAGAATTTCAAGATAATTATCAAAAAAGTCATAAATCCTATACGAATGTCAATTTAATTCTAAACCTTTTAATTTGATCAATTTATTCCCAAATTTGCCAATTTTGGCCTGAAATCGCTGATTTGTATGCTAGTCGTTCTACATGGCATAGCCGGTACTGACATGAATAACTTTTTTAATAATTATTATGATTTTTTTCCTTTTATTCCTTTTTTTCCTTTTCTTTCTTTTTTTGTTTTAACTTTGCCGGCGAGAGTCACCGGCCAACCTTCACGGCTCTTGCCAACCCTAGGTGAGGGCGTTTGGCCGGCGACCAAGACACCAGCGGAAGGAAATAAGAAAAAAAGAACAAAGAAAATAAAAAAAGAAAAAAAATCAGAAAAATTATTAGAAAATAGTAAAAATCGTCTACGTCATTGCCCGGCCATCCTACGCCCGACAAGGAGAGATAGCTTTGGGAGAAAATTCAATGTATATTTTCTCTATATTGTTTGATACACGATGTACACATTTATAATACAATGCATAAATGAATAAAGGAAACAAAATATTTTACAAATCAAATCCAATCCCAATTGATCTTTGCATATCAATCTCAATCCAAATGATATCGCATATCTTCCAACACTTTCTTCTTCCTCCAGCTAGTCACCGAACCGGCGACCGGCTAGAGGCCAGGGCTGACAAGGCTAGCCCCGCCGGCCACTGACGAGGCTCGCCCTCGCCAACAACTATGAAGGCGAGCCTTGCCAGCGGCTGGGTGAGGCACGACCTTGCCGAATCTAGCAAGGTTGGGCCTCACCCATGGTTGGCGAGGCGCGACCTCACTGGATCAGGCGAGGTTGAGCCTCCCCCATGGCCAGCGAGGCTCGACCCTCGCCAGATCCGGCAAGGGTGAGCCTCGCCCAGCCCAGCACGAGGCTCGAGCCCTCACCGAATGGCCGCAAGGGCCGCCTCAAGCTGGGCTAGGCAAGGCATGACCTCGCCGGATCTAGCGAGGTCCGGCCTCCCCCATGGCCGGCAAGGCTCAACCCTCGCCAGATCCGGTGAGAGCTAGCCTCGCCCAGCTCAGCACAAGGCCACCCTCGCAGCCATCCGGCGAGGACAAATCTCGCCCAGCCTAGCACAAGGCCGCCCTCGTGGCCATCCGATGAGGGTTGAGCCTCGCCACCCTCACCAGTGGCAGGCTGGATGGGGCTCATCCTCGCCTGTCTTGGCCTCCAGCTAATCGCCAGACCCGCGACCGGCTGGAGGAAGAAGAAAGGGAATAAAAAAGAACGAAAAGAGAAAAAAAAAATTAGAAAAATATTAAAATATTATTAAAAGTTATCCACGTCATCACCGGCGGTGCCACGTAGGCCGGTCGGTATCCACGTTAGCAAAATCCTGCCAAAATTAGCCGGAATGACTGAATTGGCACAAATACAAAAGGTTTAGAACTGAATTAGCACAAAAAAAAAGATTTAGGACTAAATTGGCTATAATGCAAAAGGTTTATAACTTTTCTAACATTTTTCCCATCATTACAACAATAAATTAAAGTTTGGTGAAATCCAATGATTGAGCTCAAAATTTAATGGCTTCCATTAGTTGTGGGCATAAGTTGAATCCAGATAATCGGTAATATATATTGTGACCTAATCCCTAATTGGAATGTTAAGTTGATAGATCGTTAATAATATATCTATTTTTGCTGATAATGCGTCAAGATCTTATAAAATTGCTAAATCAGGTCAATTAATTGAGAGGATCTTAACCCTATTTTTTCCCTCAATATGCATTTGGATACAATTGGGTTGACCCCTGATGGGGACTCATCAATGTTCTTGTTTAGCCCCCAGCCAGATCAGATGAGCTTGATAAGCCTCTTATGTCGCTGCATTTCTTGCGAAAACACTCCACTCCCCGGTACTTGAAAACAAGGCTTGTGTTCTCATAGTTGAGCCCTAAAACATCTTGATTAAGTCTCAACTCTGATACCAAAAGAAGATACGTGAAAACAGAAGACAATTTTGCTTCTTTTCTAGACAATTGTCTAGATTTGATGAGTTCTTTTAATTGGTTAATGACTAAAGGATACAACAATTATAAATGCAATATGTACGGCGGTAAAACTTAGTGTATGAAGACAAGTGCTGGTGTACAGTGCCTATGAGAAATTGTTCACCTAGTGGGACTTTTGTACTTTGAAGAAGTCTTAACAGACGGGTTTTGTACAACCAATCTTAGTAAACAAGATGCAGACACGAGAATGACACTTTAGCTCGGAGATGATACTCTTCTCAAATTCATATTTCTCAAGACTTTAGCCAATATCCCTCCCTCTCTCTGTACTTGTCAATAAAAAGCTGATAGAATACAAATTCTAGTAGAAAATTAGCGATTCATCCGATGCTTCGACCTCACGTGAAATCCATTTAATCCAACAATTAAGGTGAATTGGACATATATATGCCTTTTCCTCAGTAAGGCCTCTCTCCAATCACATTGCCGTGAGGCGAATACTCGCAAGTAATGAAAGTGTCACCAGAATTGCACACGATCTGAGCGCACCCGACCTTCTGTGTCGTCCTCCACACGAGCTGCGTGTAGTGCGAACAATCTTTGCCCGCCATGCATGTGTTGGAGTTATAATTAAAGTAAGCTTCTACAGCGGCCCACGCGGCAACAGCGTCTTTTGGCGTCCAACGCTTGCCCTGTCCCCAGAATATGTTCTCGCCGTAATCACTGGTCGAGTGAATGAGCGCGCAGTCCCCTCTCCGCTGGTTTGCGTACCACTTGGCGAAGTTCGCTAGGGACGTGTTCCATTGGAGAGCAGGGAGGTTGTGCTTTGCCCTAACTGCATTGTGAGAGCTGATATATTGGGTGATTGCAAGAGCTGAGCTCACACGCGTGGTGCGTCTGGGGGCTGTTGTCAAGGTCGCATCAGCTCCACTAAGGACTAGAACAGAGGAGAAGGTGAGGACGAAGATGAGGCTTGAAAAGAAGGGGATGGTCGCCATTGATGGCTACGACGATGGTGATGGTGAAGAGAAGATGAAGATGGGGTCTGTTTGTGATGCCTTTGCTTATGCTTGAATGGTGTTTATATAGCATCAGCTGAAATGCAAGTTGGTCTGTTATGATTACAACTACCGCCATTATGTTAGATATAACTGTATTATCTTAGAAACACTATGCAAATGATTGGTTAAATATGACATGAAAATCAACGGGACGAATCATTAGGGTTTGGTAGACATTTTCTATGGTTATATGTTCTTATGTTGATCGAACGTACACAAACAACAAATGGCAAATAGCAAACAAAGCATACCTGACCAAGCCTTTGCACAACCTTTATTATCATCCTCATATTAGTTAACTTAAATCAAATGTTCGGCTTATCAAGAGTTCCTGTTATTGCTGGATATGGGTAATTACTTGACACATTCCCGATATACAAGAGGCACGTACACTTTGCTGAAATCTAGAGAGACGAGATTCATATGTTTGTTCCGCTGGTTTTAGTAGACATATCAAAGTAATATTTTATCGTATCGAAATTTGCCTATATTGACTTTTACATTTTACTTTTTGCTAAGTCTAAATTTTGCAACGCATACACTTTGACTTTTCTTGATGCGAAACACCTGAAACTTTCACAATATATAAATGTTGGCACTTAGGTCCACATATAATTTTGAAGTTTCAATAACATTTAAAAATCTTGCGGGAAAGCAAAAAACCAAATTTTGTTTATTAAGCTTAAGAGCAAATAAACAGGCTCATCAATCGCAAATTAGACTAGATCAAACCTAGAAAGCACATATTTCAATATACTTTTTTCTAGTGATTGATCATATCCAACAAATTATGTCTTAAATCAATACACAAAATCTCTTCCGTGGCTTAGATTGATGCGAACGCATAGGAGAAAGTGCATGACTAATTGCGATAAGGCAGCCTTCGGTAGTCTTCAGAATCGAACGACCCACATGATTCATGGAGAGAATAAAGGGCGGTGCAACGTTTGCAACGGTCGTCGTGTACGTGCAGTCCCCTGGATCAAGGCCTCCGAACTTGCTCTCCGCAACGTGCCAATCATTTCGCTGATAAGTCCTTCTGTGTTTGATTGATCTGCCTTTATCCTCAGCTTCATCATTGGCTCTCTCCTTGGAATTACGATATTGAGGTCGTGAGAAGTTATGGAGGAATGTTCTCACCATCCAGAGTTCCAATTTCATTCCTTGTTTTTTATAAAGGACTGAATTTGTTGACCCTGAAAAGGAGAGAATGGTCCTGTCATGTGCTCGTGCTCTTGCCAACCATCATAGAACTTCTCCTGTTTCATCACCTTTTTAGATTGCTGAAGAATCAGCAATTGGGGTCACTCGCTAGAATATAGCACGATATTTTCATAATAAAGTATCACATCCTAGAAAACTTAGGTAATTGTGCGTATTTAACCTTCATTTTCGTCAAGAATGATAAAATCGTAACAGACATATCTTAAGTAATAACTAGAACCATGATTGCGTCATTCATGCTAGTGATCCAATGACCCGGGCTAATAGTATTCCGTAGACGCGAAATCACGACGTCGAAATCGCTTATCGGAAGAAGTGTCTGTATTAAACTTTGAGCGCAAGAGTTTTCGAACTCTAATAAGGCTATAGTGAGGCCGCGATAATGGGCTCGACAAACCTTTGACTTTCAGGCCATGGATGATACCAAATAGTCATGGCTCGAGCGAGACCTTTTAAGCGGTTGCTTTATGTACACATAACAATGCTGATTCAACTTACCAATAGTCTTTTTGGGCTTCAGGTCCATGGGAATGTTTGGGCTGATCAGGCCCATCTAACAGGCCCAAAGTCGACCCTTCTTCTCCATGTCCCTCTCAATCTCAATTTCAGCGAGCGACGGCCACCATCGATCGATCGGGCACTTCCAGTTCCGGCGCGCAGGGGACGGACGATCATGCGTCTTCTCAAAACCCTGTCCTTCCTCAGACGCCCAAACCCTAAACAACCCCATGACCTCCGTCCGACCCTCCGGAAACCCCCTTCAGCTCATCCTCGATGCGGTTTCGCCGCCGCCCCGGCGTCCGAAAGCTCGACTCGATCCCACGCCGAGGAAAACATCGGCGACAGGAGGAAGAAGAAGCCCCTCGATGCGTACTTCAAAGAGGCCGTGGGGCTGTCCCCGAGAACCGACGAGCGCGGCAGCGAAAGCGAAAGCGAATCCGAGGGTGCGAGGAGCGAGCTGGGCGCGAGGCTGAAGCGGCTGGAGGAGGAGGTGAGGATCCTGGAGAGCAGGGACGACGGGCCGAAGAGCGACGCGGCCGCTCCGGGGCGGGGTCGAAGGGCGCCCGCGAGCTTGTACGATCTCTACGTGGATGGAAAGCGGGAGAAGGCCAAGAGGCCTCCCGAGGGTGTCCCTGTTATAAAGGAGCTGTCTCCGGATGCGGAGGCTTTCTTGGCTCATTTGCACAAGGAAGGTTACTTTAGAGAGGCTAATTTCTTGAAGAAGGACGGAAAGTGGGACGCGATTCGTTTCGAAGACAGCTACAGCAGAGATTTCGTGAAATTCGCGGCCGAGAAGTTCGGCAAGGACCATCAAGAGATTGCCAAGTAAGCCGGTTTGCCAAGTTTATTGGATTATGCATTCTCGACGATATGAAGTGTTGTGTGCAATGGAGATGAGGTTGAATCGGCTAAGATAAATGAAGCCAAGGAATTTTTGAAGTACAACTTGTCATGATTGTTGTGAGGAGGAGGGTATGAGCTTGGATTGATAGATTTTCAGAATATTAGAGGTTATGCCTAGTGAGCCAATATCACATATGACACCCAGGAAGCAGTATTTGATTTGAGTAAATTGAGGGGGAATTGGTATTTCTTGATCCTTTTATTGAGTTGTATTATATTTGTTTGTTACTTGTGCTGATCTGTGTTTTCTTCTGTCCACATAGTATGCTGAACTTGTGTGTTTTGTGTCTAGATGGTTGTCAGGGAGCGACTTGAAAAAGATAGCTCTGTTTGGCTGCCCTTCCACTGCAAAAAAGAATGTCTTTGCTGCTAAAAGATTGCGGAGTTTCTTCAGTATTCAAGAGGACAATGTGAGCCAGTAGTTGTTCAAGATGTTTCCTCTCCGATCGATGAAGTTGATGGGGTCCCTATAATGTGAAAAAATGATGATCTATTTCTTATTATTTTTCCTTTTGATTTTGTCTTTTAGGTGTGCAGAGAATGCGTCTTGAGAGAATCGTGCAAGCTTGTTAACCAGAGTGTATGGAACAGCGAAACAAATACCTTGAGGTTGGATACTGTGATGAACGTCATCACTCTATATGCGCTGGAATTGGTGCCTTCCCAGTTGAAGATTACTCAAGAGCTGAAGGACTCTGTGAGTAGAGTTTTGAGAGACATTGTGAAATTGAGCCAAACCACTTCGCAGGTCTAGAGAAGGACTTAAACTACTCTCAGGTACTTCTGGTTTTGGACAACACCTCTTTACATCATATCTACTTCTAGGTCTGTTTACAGGGCAACATCGTCATTAAACTCAGACACTAGTTTTGGCTAGCATATAGTTCATTCATCACGAGAGACGTGTGAGCTAAGGAGATGAAATCTTGAGGTGGCTAATATCTACCTCCAGTTCCACCATAGTTGCCATCCACACTTGGTTCCTGTTGTTTTTTCACATTATGAGAAGTATGGGATCTTTCAGGTGCAGCTTATGTTTTTATTTGCAATGAAGATGATATATGGGTGGATCGCTGATGTTTAACCTTTTCTCGTTATGGAATTTACTGTATATTGTGCATGCTTCTAACTGCTCTTTTACATGCAGATGCAAAACCGCCAATCTTCATGAGTAAATCTTGTTGATATAACTTTCACATGCTGGAATATGGGGTATTCAAGGACCCAATGTTCTCTCCCTGAGGAAGGATTTGAATTTAGAATGACATGAGGAGATGAATAAGTAGAACATGCTGTGTAGTCTTGCCTGGATGACTTTACACGATTGGAGATGGCCTTGCTGTGCATCACCAGACTGAAAGTGTAAGTATTTGACTTTTTTGACCCCTGATGATTTGTCAGATTGTTTTTTCAAGCAAAGACTGGTTAAATGAAATTTTCATTAAGCTAAAACCACTTATTGCAAGTCATGCTTCATTCTGGGAACATGGCTGGAGAAGGATGACTATCTGTGAAATTTTGACCTTATATTGTTTGCTTCTTTTTCGGATCAAGCTAATTTCTTTAACCAGAAAACCGAAGTAAGTGACAGAGCTGCAAATTTCCCGAGTAAATTCCCACCTAGCTGAAGCAATTGCCTCTCCATTTGCAGATCTAGGAGACCCCACAAGGCATCCAAGTTCTGCATGGCAAGAATTGTTAGCAAGGACCAAAATTTACAGCTACTCGCAATCATTCATTTCTAGAGTTTGGTTTTTCCTATGGAGATAAACTTTGCGATGATCTTCTGCGGGCATTATGTGGTGACTCCTTCTAATTTGGCGGACAGAATTCGCGTTTTCTCTCCTTATGTGATAACCAAGCCCAAACAGACGAGCAGACTGTTTGTGGTTCTGGATATGAGGGGCAAAACATAAGCAGTTTGATTTTGACTATAGTTATGTTTTGGAAATGCACGGTTACTGCAGGACATCAGTCCACTTCATTTTATCGTGTTTTTTGGTCGCTAGTCCACTTCATATCGAAGAGGGAAAGAAAGTAATAGACTGACATGATTTCAATGTAAATCATAGGGTGTGTTTGTTTTGGTGACAATATTTTTCCGAAAAGTGTTTTTCGAACTTTCATTCGTTTGGTTCTCCGAAAATGATTTGGTCAACGGAAAATACTTTCCAGTCAACAAAAATATCATATTTACTTTTAGGAAAGTGAATTCTCTTATTTAAAAAGGTGAAAACACTTTTCGGAATTGCTCATTTTGAATTTGTTAATATTTTTTTGTTTCTTTTTTTCTTTCTTTCTTTTTTTTTTTTCTTTTTCTCTTCTTTCTATGAAGGAAAACATTCATGTATTTTTTTCCTAATAAAAATAATTTAAAAATAACAAATAATTTAAAAAATACAAAAAAATTTTGATAATTTTCACCATCTGTTGACACCCATTTTAATTAGCCCAAAAATTAATTACACAAAATTTAGGAGTTAATTTTCTTTAATTCCTAAAACAAAAAATATTTCTATTTCAATGCATTGCATATAGGCATTAGGTATATTTGCATTAATAGGGCCTATTTGAGCATATTTTCTTAATTAATCCTTAAATAAATAAATATAAAAAAAATCGAATCGGGCTGGGTCGGGGCTGGGCCGACCCGGCCCTTTTCTTTTTTCTTCCTTTCCCCCGGCGTGGGCTCGGCTCACTTTTCTTTTTCTTTTTCTACCCACGCGAGCTGGGCTTGGCCCGGCCCAGCCCTTCTCCTTCCTTCTTCCCCCATCCACGGTCGCTCTCACTGCCCCTGTTCGCCTCTGTTCGCGACGGAAGTGTGACGCACGGCGGCGTCGCTTCTCGCCGTCGCTGTCCGGCCAAAAGAAGGCCGAAGGAGCACGCCGACGGGACTGGCATTAATTGCCAGTCCCGTCCTCCCCGTTTCCCCGGCTCCCTTATCCTCTCCTCCTTCCTCTCTGCGTTTGTTTTGAACCGGCCCCCCTGCTCTGCTCTGCACCGGCCTGCCATGGCCACGAAAGTCGTGGGGTGGCGTAGGCCAGTGCAGGCCGTCGTCATGCGGACGCGAGAGCAGGTGAGACGCGTCGTCGCCGCCTATAAAAGCCGAAGAGAGAGAGAGGCCCCGGTCGACCGTTTTTTAAAGACAGAGAGAAAGAGAGAGACTGAGCGAGACTGAGAGACTGAGAGCTCTTCCGGCGACCGCCGTGCTCGTACCGCGACCATAAAAGACCAGAGAAAGAGAAGAGAGAGGTCGGCCGGCGGTTTAAAAAAAAAAACAGAGCGAGAGGCCGAGAGAGAGAAAAAGAGCACCGAGAGAAAACAGGGAGAGAGAGAGCTCGCCAGAGCAAGAAGGAGAACCAGCAGCGTCACCGTCGCCCACGGAGCAGCCGGAGACCCCCCAGAACGCGCCGTCGACCAGGTGAGTCTCTCCCGGCCGAGAACCGCCTCTGTTTTCCCCTGTTTTCCGGCGTGGTTGGGCCGGGACTCGCGCCGGCCATTTCGTGCGAATCCCGGCCCATATCGACGTCGGTCCCAGTCCCTGCTCACCGTTGGAGGTGAACCAAGGCCGTCGGAGCTGACCGAGTCGCCGGAGGAGGCCGAGATCTCTTGATTTTTGCCGCGCACGCTACCTGCTCGATGAAATGCCTCAAAGAGGCTGGTTTGTTTTTGGCCGCCGGCCGACGAACGGGTGATCGGACGGTGACCCCGGTGGGTGGAGAGGTTTGGTTTTAGTCCCAGGGGCCGATTTGGGGGCGGCGCCGGTCTGGGTCCGCCGGCAAGAGGCCGATTTTCGGCTTCGCCGGCGGCTGCTCCCACAGGTTCGGTCTGACCCGGTTCAGCCGACTCGACCTCGGTCGGTCTGACCGACCCGGTTCAGCTGATCCGACCCGGGTCAACGCTTGGGTCGGATCCGTTGACCCGGGTCGGATCCGACCCGACCCGGTTTAATATTATATTATTATTTTTTATTATTTTATTTTAAAAATAAAAAATTATTAAAAAATTTCAAAAAAAAATTTAAATTTTTTTTTCTTTTCTTCTTTTTCTGTATTATTTTCAATTTTTTTCTCGAAAAGAAAAATTTTTAAATTTTTTTTTTCAAATAAAAAAAGAAAAGATCTTTTTTTAAAAAATTATTGTGTGATATATTCTAAATGTTTAATTTATTGTAGTATTATTATGCATATTTTTGTCTTGTTTAAATTAGACAAGCCTGAGATTGCGCGGTAATATTTTGCATGTTATTTTTATTATCGCTATATTATTGTGCATATTTTTAATACAATCGCATGAGTTATTTTTTGAATGTCATCTGACTTAGTTAAGGTTAGAACCTTAGGCTGCATGAATTGTTATGTTCCTGACTGCTAATCGTTTCTGATTATGCACTCGCTTGATCACCTCACATGTTAGGAGAAAGGTCCTAAAATCAATCCAAACTGCCTGATAAATGTTTTAAAAAATGAACAAGGTAAAATGGTACCGAAAGGGCATTAGTTATCCAACTAGTGTAACCAAGTCCCCGAACTCAGTTAATCTCTGGTTTGCAGGAGTAGGGTGATTCTCCCATCACCCTATTTGGGTTTCTAATCGGCCCACCCCAAATCGATTAGTGGCGACTCCTTGATATAAATCACCTGCATGTTAAGAAACTTAAACCCTAGGTCGCGATATGGTATGTGTCACGCCCCGCACCCTACGAGCGCGCGATCACCCCTCGATGGTCGATCATTGAACGCGACGTCTCAAGACGCGTCGCCGACCCAAACGAACTACGCAAGCGAAAGCGAAATAAAACAACCCGGACAATAAAATATGACGAAGGGATAGCACAAAACAATAATTCCAAATACACAACATCAAAACGGAGTAGTGGTTTGGTTATCCTACTTCACTATACAAAAGAGGGGCACACAAAAATATAGGGCAACCTGACCCGTCCTCCACTCCCGAGATACCCTAGTGGCGTCTCCAATCAATCACTGTCGCAGATCTGAAAATGGTTATATAATAACCGTGAGAACGAGTCTCAATAAGCAACCCCATATACCCCACATAGGCCAATGCGTACCCAGACAAGTCGTACATGCAATCTACCCCATATATAATGTAAAATCGCATCCTTATACTTACCTCACCATCGAACCCATGCTAACACTGCACGTTAGTCATAACATGGTAATGCAGTAATAGTAACTAAATAGCACATCGCAATTGCTCAAACGCCAACCACACTTGCACGCAATTCATCTTACTAATTCGACCACACATTCAACCAAGCCAATTCAATCACACGCTCAACCAGCCAATTCAATCACACTCAACCAGCCAATTCAGTCACACTCAACCAGACATTTCAATCACACTCAAATCGCATGCGTGGCCGAACATCTTTCTCACGACCCGCGCCACTGCGCCTCAGGTCCATTCTCACTGCCCGCGCCACTGCGCCTCAGGCCCACTTGGCACACCGGCCATTCATGCTTTCACACGGACCGCCGTCAACACGTCCCAAGTCCGTAGCCCTCCGATCAATCCGAGCTCAATTTCCAATGACCGACGTAAATACGTCCCGGTCCAACACACCTCTAACAGGCCACCGTCAACACGTCTCAAGCCCGCATCCATTTGGCACACCGGCCATTCATGCCTTCACACGGACCGCCGTCAACACGTCCCAAGTCCGTAGCCCTCCGATCAATCCGGGCTTATAATCGACAGGCATGCACACGCCATTCAATTCAATCAATTTCACGCCAATTGCATTAAACCATCCATATTCACAACTCAATCCAATTCACAATTCGCCACGTCAATCCACAAACCCGACGTTCAAGTCGGCCACGTACGATCACCCAAATCATGCACATTATTTTATCCAATCCAATTAGCACAATTATATCATAATACAATTAAATTAAATCACGCTCTAACCGTTCTAAACCCGAGACAAGTCATAAAATACCCAAAGTACTAAATAGGGTTTAGAAAGTCACTTACTTCAATATGGCCCGGGAAAAACCCACACGGGCTCAAAACAGGAGGATGAAACGATGCGGGCGGGATGAACAGATGCAGCCGGATGAACGATGCGGGCCGGATGAACGGTGGCGCCGGAGCTCGGCCACGGCCCGGGGCAGTCCGGCCACGGCCTGGGCACGCTCGGGCTGGCTGGGCAGCGGCTAGGCGAGCTCGGCCACGGCTCGGGGCGCTCGGGCGAGCGGCGACAACGACGGCGGTTGGGTGAGTCCGGCGAGCCAGTGCTGCAAGTGGGTGAGCAAGGTCGCCGAGGGCCGGGTGGTGGCGGACGGGCGGCAAGCGGCGGCAGAGGCGGCGCGCGGCGGGCCGGCCGGCGGCGGGGAGGCCCAAAGCAGGAGAGGCGTCGGGGAGGATGAAAAACGGGGAAGGGGAGGTGGTGGCGGCCCAAGGGAAGCGGCGGGTCGGCGGAGATGGGCGAGGAGAGGCTGGGTGGCGGAGGCGGAGCGGCAGTGGCCGGAACGGCGGCTCACGCGGCCCGCGAAGCCGAGGGGGCAACGGGGGAGAGGAAGTCGCGCGGCGGCGGAGCGGCACGGCGCGTCACGAGCGGCCGGGCGACGGAGGGCGAGCCGGCGGACGGGCAGGTGAGGCAGCCGGACCACGGCGGACGCCCAGCGGCAAGGCGCTACTCGCGTGCAACGCAGACAGGGCCGGCGACAGGCGGACAGGGCCGACGAGCGGCGGTCGCGGGCGACGAGCGGCGGCACAGCTCGGTCGGGCGACAGCAGCGACGGCGACGGGGCTGGAGGCGAGCTCGGTCGGCGTCGGCTGGGGCGAGCAGAAGCAGAAACGATCGAGCGGCGAAGGAGGAGGAAGAAGAAGAAGAAAGAAGGAAGAAGAAGAGAAAGAAGGAGAGAGAGAGAGGGGGGCAGAAGGGACGCGCGGGCAGGGGGGAGGTGACGGGCGCAGAGGAGAGAGAGAGAGAGAAAGAGAGAGAGAGAGGAGGGCCAAAAGTCAAACGCCATTATCACGATCCAACGAACCACGATTCAAACCCACAAACGATCCAACGGTCCAAAATTAATCCTAAAATATAATAAGGGACAAATGCCAAATTAATTAAATTACACTACCTCGAGGGAGGTCTACTAGTCCAAATTCGCACTCGGTCAAAAATTCACTTTTCACATATCCCGGGTAATATCGAGGCTGGCCACAATAATATCAACACCGTCCAATTAAATTCGTCCCGGAACTCCAAGAAATTCGACACCAAAGTTTGGGCTCTAAATAACGGCCAAATTCGATCGAGTGCGATTCTAGCGAAATCTCAATTTTAAAATAATAACCGGGAGTGATCAGTTCCCGGGCGAGATTTTACTATAAGCACACTGACGAATTACACGTTTTATAAATCCCAAAAATGGGCCGAAATTCGGGATGTCACAGTATGGGCTTGGGAGAGCCCGAGTTAAGTCACAAACCTAGACTTAGCACGTACCAGGCGAGCCCCCCTTTTTTGCATGTTCGATAAAAAAGGGCTCGGGAGTTCGGTCGCGACACCATCAGATTTTCCTTACTAAACAACTTAAAATACTTTCCAAGTATTTTTTGGATTTTAGCCAAACATCGAAAAATGAGCTTATTTTCTAGAAAAATGATTTCTTGGAAAGTATTTTCTAGAAATGATACATTTTCCGTGAAACAAATGCACCCATAGTGTATGAGACAGAAAATTTATCCAGAAAACAGGAATGATAGGCTGTCAAACGCCGCTAGACATGCAAGTTATATTTCGTAAAGAAAATGTTTGATGTTGGTTTGGTTCGGTTTTGGGAAATGTCTTTGGAAACATACAAAGACTTTTGAGCTAAAGAGTTTACCAAAACCCAATCAATGTTTGGTAAATTGTAATTTTAAAGTACATTGGGAAACAATTTTAAGTGTTTAGCAAAATTACACTTTAGAAAGCATTTTTACTTTTTTTGAAAAAAACACTCAAAATCGGCAAGGACTTAGCGGTCTGCGAGAGGTAAGCGAGCCTCCAGCGAGGCTAAATTTTGCTATCAACAACCTCGCTTGAGGACGCGCAACCTAAGCGACCGTCAGCCTGGGGCGACACCTGAGGTCACAGGACCTCAGGTCTCGTCAGCAGGGTCGCGACCCTTAAGTGGTGGTCATCAACCTTTGTCCATGTCCTCCTGTGCAAACGATCGGGAAGATAAATAGTATCGATGTACAGTGAATAGTGCCAAGCTGCATTACAAGAATGTTACTTTCTAAAGGAACTTTGGATCTACCTCGAGCTAAAGGTCTTTGGAAATGCAACTGTACCTCTCCAATGTTCTCCAAAAAATTCGTCAAACGCCATTTGCATTGCATTTGTCCAAGGACCCCCAAAGCCCCTTGCAAATGTTGAACCAAACGCACCCGTAAACATAGCGAAAGTAGGACCGATTTCTTGCTTGACGATGTGGTTAGCATGTATTTGAGGAATTCGGGAAATCAGATGCAAAATCACTAAAACAATTTTCGTAACCTCAAATGCGGACCAACTGAATCTCTATTGGTCCTAGTTCGGGTCCATGCGCCGTTGGGCTTCAGCCCCATTCCATCGGGTCTGGATCCGGGCACGCCCGTCAGCCCGAGCCCACGTGGAGGGATCAAAGCGTCAGCATCAAGGCTTCACTGTCACTGTCACTGTCAGTCAGTCGAAATGCTTTGACCCGCTCTTCCGTTTCGCCGATTCTCCCTTTCACACACCCTCTCTGCGCCTCCCTCGCTCTTCTTCCCGTGCTCCGAGCGAAATCCCGCGTCGCCCGCAAACGCCCACGCGCAGTCGCACGCACTTCCAGTCTCTTCTTGAGGTTCTAGATCTGGTCTTGAATCGGACCCCCCCCCCCCCCCCGTCGAAGTCAAAGTTCGTCGCCCTCCGACCGAGTCAAGCGCCGTCGCTGTTGCAGCCGAATCTCGAACCTTCGCCGTCGCGAGAGGTAACTTGCTTCTCGCAATCGCTACGGTTTTTCCTCCTCCTCCGATCGAAGTCGTCCCTGTCGATTTCCTCGAAGAATCCGCTTCGTTGATCAGCGCAGAGCTCGCGCTGTGTGGTCGAATTGGTCGCGGGAAGCCCTCTCTCGTCCGCTCGTTCCGCTTATATAATCGATTTGCTTAACCTGGCTTCGGAGAATTATCGGCCTGGAATGCGCTCTGGCTTTGTGCGCCCGAAGTGGAGTTCTGGTCTGAGTCTCTGATGCGCTGGATTTGATTCCGTGGGGAAAAGGTCGGAAGATCTCGAGATCGTTTTGGAAACAGTGAGAGAGAGGGAGGGAGGGAGGGAGTCTGTGGGTTCGATGAACATGACGTCGGGCTCGCGGATGCCGACATGGAGGGAGAGAGAGAACAACAAGAGGAGGGAGAGGCGGAGGAGAGCCATAGCCGCGAAGATTTTCACGGGGCTTAGGATGTACGGTAACTACAAGCTCCCGAAGCACTGCGACAACAACGAAGTCCTCAAGGCTCTCTGTGACGAGGCTGGCTGGATCGTGGAAGCCGACGGCACCACGTATCGGAAGGTAATTGTCTCCAAATTTTAGACTTGAAGAATTTTTGCCTTGGCCTCGAAGCTACTTTTAGGTTATAAATCACTAGAATAAGTGTGAATGTTGCGGTTTGACGGTTACAATTCTGAAGAATTGGTAACACTCTGCTTGGTATCAAGTACTACAATTCTGCGAACCAAATTCCTGCAGTGTGAATAAATCATGACCTGTTCTAGGCTGGTTACCTACACATAGATTCACATGCGACACATCCAAGACTAAGAGCCTGGTTTGTGTTTTGTGGATTTTCCTCGTCAACTGGCTGTAGTCCATAACTTCTCCTCATCGTGGATTTTCCTTACCAACATTTGCACGGACCTGCGTATATGTTGCCATTATGAGAAGTTGAATAGAATAGCTCATATGTTTTGCTAGATAGATGGTCAGTATTGGTAGAGAAGTACATACCTAGAAATGACAGTGTTTTGAGTGAAGAGTTTTGCGTGTTCAAATGGGTGAGAGGACTGGCTCTATCAGGTAGGACTTGCCCACTCAAATAGTTAGCTCTGATGTATTAAAATTGTTGGAGGGAGGAACTTGGATTGGATGAAAGAGTTGCACTATGTAGATGACTCAGTTTCAGTTAACTAATTACTCCTTTCATGGTTGATTATATGGGCTAACTTCCGTTCTCTTTATGGCTATCTCCAAAAGTGCAAACACACTCAAACATAAATCCAAAAGTGCCTTTTGTTATATTCTCTAAACTTTACTACTTTATTGTTGCAATTAAATCAGGGTTGCAAACCTGTAGAGCATGTGGATATGGTGGCTAGATCTGAAACAGTGAGTCCATCTTCTTCTTACTACCCAACCCACAACCCAAGCCCAGGCTCATCATCTTTTCCAAGTCCTGCCTCATCCTTCTACGCAGCCAATGCTAATTCAGATGGGAGTTTCCTAATTCCATGGCTCAAGAACTTCTCCTCTGCTTCGTCATCAGCCTCCTCTTCAAAGCTCCCTCATCTCTATCTCCCCGGAAGCTCAATCAGTGCTCCTGTCACACCTCATTTGAGCTCTCCAACTGCTAGAAGCCCCAGAGTTAAGACTGTCTTGGATGACCAATCCACCCGCTTTGGCTGGGGTGAGCGCTACTCCTTCATGCCATCTTCCACTCCACCGAGCCCTGGCCATCGGATCCTTCCTGACCCTGAATGGATTTCTAGGATCCAAATTCCCCAGGGAGGCCCAGTGTCTCCCACATTTACACTCGTCTCATCCAATCCTTTTGGCTCAAAGCAAGAGGTTTTGGCTGGGGGTGGATCTCATATATGGACACCTGGGCAAAGTGGAACATGCTCTCCTGCCATTGCTGCTGCCGCTGATCACACTGGAGATATCCCTATGTCGGAAGTGATTTCAAATGAGTTTGCATTTGGAGTCAATGGGAAGGGCCTTGTGAAGCCGTGGGAAGGAGAGAGAATTCATGATGAGCCTGGATCAGATGATTTAGAGCTCACGCTTGGTAGCTCAAAGTGCAGGTGCGTTGACACTAATATGCAGGTTGAGTCTGTCTTCTGGATTTCTATGTTCTTTAATTTGAGGCTCATGCTTTGCAGGTAAGAAGTTGGACGACCCGGAGGTGCTCTTTGGGCTGGTATGACAAAGGGTCGAGCAAAGCATCAATTATGCTTCTTTTTTTTTTGTTCGCATTTTTCTTTTCCTTTTTCCTAAATATTTCATTGTATGTTGTTTAAGCAGTAGGATTAGTTTCGATGTTCTTTTGCTTCTGTACCGTTTCTTGTTTATGTTACCAGATATGATTGATGATATTGCATAAGTACACATGGCTGCCTTCATTTTTGTGGCACGCCACTGGAAGGAATTTTCTGAATTCAGTTGTATGCCACTGATTCTTTCAAGAACTTCTAATGGGCCGAAAGTTTTCCTTTCCATCCCTTGGAGATCATATTTTCTTGTCTAGATCTAAGCTTGTTCTATTTCCCCATCATGAATTGGGAAAAATTTTCATGGATAGTGATTACCTTCTTTAGTTGCAAATTGTACGCAACAATCTCTCAAGGAGATTTAAGTCATGTGACTGCCCAGACCAATTGTGTCATGCCCGCTCATCAAAGATATCAACTTGTTAACCGGGGTTCACTCAAGAGAATTGGGTGGAATGGGGAGGTTTAGTTTCAGATGTTGGGTTCAACTCTCACGCTCTGCAAAAAGATCAAGTAAAAGTCTGAAAGAGAGAGAAGAGTTAGAGTAGGTCAGATCTAAAAAGAAAAAAAGAAAAAATAGGTTTCACTTCTCTGATTGCCTGAGATTAACATTTTCTAAGATTTGGCCTGTGTCTGATAGTTGGCTCCATGTTCTTGATCAAATGCTAATTGTAAAAACTAAGGACTGTAACAAGATATGCGTAATTCGTCCGAAGGGTGGTCTGCAAGTGTAGCTTAATCTGATCACACTGTAAATGTAATGGTTGTCCGGTTCCCTCTAGCCTGTTTCTATGTTTGTACCCAACCCTCTTTGCATACCCATGGGATCAATTTCGACATCTAGATAGTCATTGCTTAAATTAGAAGCCACTTTGTAGATAGTCATTGTATGATTTAGCTGCCAATTTGTTTTATGTCCATGCAAAGGGCATGTCCTGGCTTCGCACCAGACGTTCCATGGCAATCAGCCAAGGCACGTAGTCCAAACAATAACTAATGCAGACAAACAGAGGTGCCTCTTTTTGGGAGAGAAACTCCCAAGTACACTAGTACCATGATAAGCGGAGACCGAGCATTCATTGCTTCATTGTTTAGGTGCATGAACTTGGGAGTTTCTCGCCATTCCTAGTGCTTCTCGTCATATTTTTGGAAGTCTCGATGAGAGTCACTTTCAGATGATTCCTGACTACTTGTTTAGATGAGAATTGCTTAGTTTCTCGCCGGCTGGTCAATGGACGTCATGTGATCCCCTTCATCCTGCAATTTTAGTTCTCATTGTTTGGATGTACCGAGGACATCTGATGCCAGAATACAGAGGTAGATCACACCCAGCCATCGACAAAAGGCCAAGATTTAATGGTCAAATCTCAAATTCAGTCCCTCTGATGTTTCAATGCAATTTGGTAGGAACTCATTTGGATTACCAATTATCTGGAGCCTTCCACTTTCGTAAACACAGGGAAGCCATTAAGAGTATGTTGCCAATGTAATAAACAAGTAGGGATAATCTTTTAAAGCATTCTTTCTCTAATGCCTGGTTACTTTGTGGCAGCCATCTACGTTTGTTGCTATTCTTGTTTTAAACCTCTAAGGGCAGATTTAGAGTTCTCGAACTGAAAAGTGGTCCAGCAAGAGTTGGCATAGTGGGGATAATTTCATGATATTATCCGATCTTTGAGAAGTGCAATGACGAGATTAATCTCTACATGTTTATAGCTCCCTCTCATCCTTCTCAGAAACCTTGCAAGTTTGCAATCTTTATGAGATCTTATGACATGAATTGGGTGTCTTGTATTTCGGCTGCCTCATCAGCCTCAGTCACTATTTTAGGGACTAGAGTAAGATTTCAAAAGTTGACAGCGGCATGAGCAGGCGACTAACGTTGGAATCTAAGAGTTGATACTAAATTAAGAGTCATTTTATTCTGTAGGTCTAGGCATTATGGCCATAGTACTAGTTTTACCAGATAACATTTTGCAATGGATATGACAGAGACTTGTTCACCGTCGTTACATCCAACAAAATTGTCCCTCCTTGTTTGTTTGTTTCACTAAAGTATCACCTTGCTTTGTTGTTCTAAGTTGAAACGCTCAATAACGTTGACGGGACTGCTTCTGTTGTAAGATCCAAGAGAGAGCTTGCTTGACTGATTGAAGTCAGGTCGCGAGGACTGTAGGCAACAGAATCTAACCAGCTATATATAGTGCAGAGTTTGCTCACATGGACGGCGCACAACAAATTCTGAAGTCTGAACATTTCTTTGAGGACTTGCTCTCTCCAACCTATAGCTTCGGTATTATCCCATGGAAATACAGGATCGTGCCTGGAATCCATTGGCATCCACAGAGATAAACAAAGAAGACCAGTTCTGTGAGTTAGGCATGGTCGGAGGTGGTGTTTATATCCTGAGCTTAATTGGAGAATCCCGTCACAGGTACAGTGTAGTTCACTCTTCACCCCTGTATACTTTGCTGCTCAAAATGATCATTTGTTCAAAACTAGCACCAATTTCCACGGGTTCTCTCCGGCGGCAATATGTTTGATCAATGAGCTCCTTGACCAGGTATGTCTTCTACTTAAGAAAGTGGTACGACTACATCACAAAAGAAAATATGAAGTAGAGAATGCAATATCGATCTGTTTCTTGTTCTCCCTTTCTATCAACATCTTTGCCAAAGTATGCTGAAAGTGACTTCTGACCTTGTAGTTACACCATGTGCACTTTGAAGTCATTGCGGAGATGAACTAGGACTATCTCACTTGTCATAATATCTCAGAAAAAATCATAGCGCGTGATATTCCATAAATTTCTCCGACAAACACCAACCCCCTCCAATCTCTGTTATGGAATAATTATCAGTGTGCAATATGCCCAATCAAACAGCTCACAACTGTCACTTCTGTTTGACTCCAGATCGCGAGGGATGAAAAGGCACGTGTGTTGATCACAACAAATCAGGTGATACACTCTAGTGCATGTAGCGGTTATTAGCGTGTACTCATGGAATAAGTAGACCTTCATCCATGAGCTGCATATCTCATTGTCAGAAGATAACTATCAGAGAGAATACAAAAGTAACTTGCGCTGTCTTTTGATTTTGTGTGAATGAAGGGTAAGTTCTTCTCGGATGGGATGGATGTAAGCTACTTAAGATGCACAGACAGAAGAAGCGCCATTGTAAGTATGTTTCCAAATAATTAATATGCCCAACATACAAGTTATGTTTTCTAGTTTGCTCATATAAGTTAAAACCACGAGCCTGTTGTTGAGCAGGAGTATCTGATGTCATTTCAGAAGCTGGTGAGCAAGTTGTTGACATTCCATCTTCCAACTATAGCTGTTATTAGGTGAAGTTCCTTGCAAATTACACTGAAAAGGCTCAAATAGTCAAAATCGATTTGTTCAGAAAATGGGTTGGTAATTATTTTAGCAGCCCAACTAGATTTATCTTTTCTCTTGATTTTAACATAGCGCTTTGCATATGGCAGAGATCATGCAGTTGGAGCGGGTTGTATTTTTGCACTGGCTCATGATTACAGGCTTATGAGCTCTGACCATGGTTACATCTTCATGAATGAGGTAAATTTGGTCCCTGTAAGAGAGTCTTGGAACTCCCACTTTAAGGAAGTGTACTGGCAGATCTTCAGAAATTTCGTTCTTGATACTTCTTTCTACTTGATCTGATGCATAGGCTATTATGTCGAATCAAGACTAAAAGTTTTGTCACACAACTTATATATTCCACACTTCAAAACAGGTTAATTTAGGAATGTCGTTGACAGCTGGAATTATGTCCGTTCTTCGCACGAAGTTGCCCATATCAACTTTCCAGGAAGTTCTTCTTACAGGGTACCTGTAACTTTTATCTATGCTTCAGTGTGATTGTTTTGAGAAAACTCATCGTGAAGGCCAATTTGTGGAAGACAGATCGAACAGCAAAGTTACAAATCCATTCTTTTTCACAGGAAACGCTACGACGGGAAAGGCGCCACAGCAGCTGGTATAGTTCAAGCAACATGTCCTAGAGGAACAACTCTTTGGCGAGAAGGGATAGAGAAAGGTCGATTTTCTTGTATCATTTTTCATATTTTATATGTAGGATTAGTCATGAACTTTTTCTCCGGATTGGGTCTATCCCTCGATATTAACATTTGCTATCTATGATGCATATAGCCTCCGAGTACAGAGCTAGAAGATGGAACAGAGAGATCTGTCGCGCGTTGAAGGTGCGCAGTTTTTCTCACTCCAATGCTTGAAAGGGAAGATGTTAGGGAAGATTATCTTCTAGTAGGCGTTCAAACTTGCAGATGGAGATGTTCAAGACCACTCTGCAAGACCTTGAAAATGGAGGAATTGGATACGCAAGAATGTGAATCACTTCTCTTGTCACTTTTTGTGAGAAAGGGTGAAAGAAAACATGCATCTATTTTGTATCAGCTAGTTGTCGTCTCTTCGTAATCATAATCGAGTAATGATTTTATATCTAATGTATTTATTTATTGCCCTTTGTGAACCAGCATGTCTGGATATTAATCATGGGGATAAGTATTCCAGAAATGGGTTTAGAAAGCTTAATTTTTGGCCTATGTAGTACATTATTTCAATTTGTTGGGAGCCCCACAAATGCGTCCCCGGTCCCAAATATACCCTTTTCGTATGAATTCCCTTGATGTTGGTTAAATTTCTTTTAAAGGACTTTCTTCAGTCAATTTTTTTCTACTTTCAATTGAGACAAATTTGGAGGAAGAGTACACTTCCTATTTCATCACGAACATGAAGAGACTGAGAGAGTCGCAAGGAGAGAGACGATGGTCCATGATATGTCATTTTATCTTCGACCTATTTCTAAGAATTTCTGTAAGAGAATTACTGTTCACAAAAGCGTTCAGTCGGTCTCATCGCAGATCATGAATAGCGCATATAAAAGAGCAAGGCTTTCCTTTGAAGCATCAGTCAGTACAACTAAAAAAGAAGTAGCTGGATGAAACGAAGATAATGATGACAGAACCATCCTTTTACGTCACAAACTGTACAAAGGGGTCCATGCAAAACCAACGCACGGTCACACTAGCTAAGAGACGGTGGGAGAGTCTGTTGCTTAACTTGTCTTTGTCTTGAAGCGAATCCAACCACACGCAACACACGCACGCAGCAATGGCCTTATAGAAACTTCTCAATCACCCCAAGTCATCAAACTACACCTCTCTCTCTCTCTCTCTCTCTCTCTCTCTCTCTCTCTCTCTCTCTCTCTCTCTCTCTCTCTCGACAATGGGACTTGGCTCTCCTAGCTTTGTATCATCATTTGTTCTTGCTCTTGTCCTTCGTCCGTGCCTCAATAGAGCGATTAATGCCATAGTCGCACCACAAGAAGTGGGCGGTTGCGAACTCTTCCAAGGAAGTTGGGTTTACGACGATAGTTATCGCCCTCTTTACAACACCGCAGCATGTCCGTTCATCGAGACGGAGTTCGACTGCCAGAAGAACGGACGTCCAGATCATCTCTACCTTAGATACAAATGGAAGCCAAGTGCCTGCGAATTGCCGAGGTAGAATAGACATGCATGGATTGAACTTCTCTTCTAGTAATCGTTGTACTCTCGCACTGCACATCATTTTGGTCTCAGCCACCCTCGGTTTCCTCCTTTTCGTAACATTTTAGGGCACAAAAACTATTGTCGGCAGAAATTTTGAAGCAAGATGAAGAAAGAATCAAGACAAAACAAGGACAGGTTAAAACCTATTATTTCACTTGTCGTTATACATGTAGCTTCCTTCAGAGCAGTTCCTCCAGAAAATGAAGCAGCTTTTCACAGAGAGAAAATGTCTCTTCTGTGTGAAGTGTCTCAGGGGCATTGCTAAGCAAGAAAAATTTTCAAATATCGCCCAAAAAAGGAATTTTCGCAAGTAACATAAGAATTTTAATCAGGTAAGAGGTGATTGGCTAGACACATGAGAAAACAGTGGAATCATCGGCATAAAATACTTTTTTTCCGCACCACTTAGCCATATTGAGGTGAAACACTTGGTGTTCATTGAATGAAATGGTGATGCAGATTCAGTGGAGAAGATTTCGTGCGAAGAATGAGAGGGAAGAAGATACTGTTCGTGGGGGACTCTTTAAGCCTCAATCAGTGGCAATCCCTCACTTGCATGCTGCATGCTTCACTTACCCGCTCCAACTACACTGTTACTCGAACAGGAGATGTCTCCACCTTCGACATACATGTAAGGCATTGTTAATATACATGGAATCTTATGCAATGTTCTCTATGATGAGAAGGGACTAATCCCAAGGAAGAGATGTTGATGGATTGGACAATCCATTGAATACTTGTTGACATGCTCTAAGATATCTAATTATCAGTCGGTATACGGCGTTAGTCGAGATAAACATTCTTGAAAATCTATCGGCCGTCCTCCTCTTCTTTAAGTTTTGAATGTTTTGCAGGACTACGGCGTTTCTGTGGTGTTATCTCGAAATGCGTTTCTGGTCGACGTAGTGAAAGAGAATATCGGGAGAGTTTTGAAGCTTGATTCAATCGTCAATGGCAATGCGTGGAAAGGATACGACATGCTCATCTTCAACACTTGGCACTGGTGGCTGCACAGAGGCAGAAAACAACCGTATGTACTTATATGAACAGGACCCTAATCCATGATTAGGTTCCCCGGATAAATTTCATTCTTTTGCTGTATAAAAATTCCAAGTAGTCAAGACGATTGAAAAAATGAGGGAAAACGATATGTGTGGTAGAGTATAGTGATTGGGAGCACAACAATGATAATGCCATGTTAATTTGATTTCAGATGGGACTATATTCAGCAAGGAGAGACCATACACAAAGACATGGACCGTTTGGTTGCTTTCAAGGAGGGACTCACTACATGGTCCAAGTGGGTGGACTCTAACATCGATCCTACCACGACCACAGTGATTTTCCAAGGCATATCTCCCACTCATTACAAGTAAGTCATTTCAATTAGCTAGCCTCTTGTTCATGAGATCATTCACAGACGATCAACCCCCAAACTCGTCCCCCTGCTAATTATTCGAAATTGTTCTTGAAAATAATTAAGTGGCAAGGAGTGGAACGAGTCCGGGACGACCACCTGCGACGGGCAAACCGAGCCCATTTCGGGGTCTGAGTACCCAGCGGGTCCACCACCACCGGCAGCGATCGTGAGCGAGGTGCTCAGCAAGATGGCAACGGAGGTGACTCTTCTGGACATAACGAAGCTATCGCAGCTTAGGAAAGATGGACACCCATCCGCCTTTGGGTCCGAAGGCCGTGGAGGGAACGATTGCAGCCATTGGTGTCTTGCTGGTGTGCCTGATACTTGGAATCAATTGCTCTACACTACCCTTGTTAACGGAGGTAGAAGATTATTACATGACACAGCAAAGTCTGTGCATTAATTGGTGTCAGAAACTTTTAACAATGAATGACTATATGTCATCTTCAGGATGTTACGACGTTGTTCTGAAGTTTGTACTTATTGCTATAATGCTTATCTAGTAATTCTTTTCAAGATAGTACCATTTAGTTTGCATTATTTATCGTATGTTTCTCTGTTCATTTTCATAAGCACAAAACGTTGTCATGTATATGTGATTTACTTGTTATAGGTTCACTCAGTTAATCACGCATGTGGTATCCTAATATTCAAACTTTGCTTACACGTGCAAGTTTGGCTTTATGACAGTCGATCAAAGTTCGTCGGGAGCTTCCAGACAGTACCCAACAGCCAGAAGCCAAATATTTTTCTGCTTTCTACTTGGCACCTTCACAACTTTTCATTTGTTCAATTCTAAGTACATCGCTAGCTTGTGAAATGCAAATTTAAAATGACATAGTTAATGAATTATACATCAAGTATGCAACTTTTGCAAGACCACAAAGTTTATTTCATTCCATTGAGTACATCTCGGAGATAATTATCAAGAAAGTCCTATGTCTATTGTGCAGATGTCAATTCAGTCCTAAACTTTTTAACGAGAAAATTACCAAAAAAGTTATAAACCTATTGCAATTGTGCCAATTCAGTCCTAAACCCTGTTTTTTGCCAATTCAGTCCATCTCAAAGAGTCACAAAGAGAGCGAAGATCATCTATGATATGTCATTTTTCCTTCGACATACTTTTAAGAATTTCTATATGAAAATTACATCACCACATAGGGCAATCCACATTTAATCCTAAACATTTCAATCGTGTCAATATTAGTCCTAAACCTTTTTACAATTTAGCAATGTAGTCTTCCGATCAATTTCGACCGGATATCATTGATATGGACGCCAATCGTCCTACATCGCATGGCCAGCGCTAACACGGACAATTTTTGCAAATTTTAGGAAATTTTTTTCCTTTTTGTCTTTCTTTCATTTTCTTTTCTTTTCTTTCCCTTTTCATTTTTTTATTTCCCTCCACCGGCCGTCGTCGAGCCTCTGCCGGTCACTTGGCCTCGATCGCCAGCCATGAGCGAGGGTAGCTCTTGTTAGAGATAACTAGGAATTTCTCTAGGATTATTTCCTTGGTTAGAAATAATTTGATAATTCTCTTGATTCTATATATCTCTCAAGATTACGCATATATCTCCATTTAATTATACATATCTTAATTAATATATATTACCTTAGATAGTCATATAATAAAGCATGTTTATATATTCTTCTTCAATAGACATCCAATTATATAAGAAATTCATCAAATCTGTCTTCCGCATTATTATTATTATTAACTACTAGATTAGGGAAATTGTCGATTCGCAAGTAAATTACTGTTCACAAAAACCTTCAGTCAATCTCATCACAGATTGCAGTGCGTATAAAAGAGCAATGCTTTCCTTTGATGCATCATGTAGTTCAGCCAGACAAATAAGGAGCTAAATGCAACCAAGATAATGATGACAAACCGTCCTTTTACGTCAAAACTGTACAAAAGGGGTCCATGCAAAACTAACACACACACACACACCCCACCACCACTAGCTAAGAGATGGTGACAGAGTCTGCTGCTTAACTTGCCTTTGCCTTGAAGCGAATCCAACCGCACCACAACACACGCACATACATGCAGCAATAGCTTTTTAGAAACCATCTCAATCACCCCCAGTCATCAAACTTCATCTGTCTCTCTCTCTGAAAAGACAATGGGGCTTGGCTCTCCTAGCATTGTATCATCATTTTCTATTGCTCTCGTCCTTGTTTCCTGCCTTAACAGAGCGATTGATGCCAAAGTCGCACCGCAAGAAGTGAGCAGTTGCGACGTCTTCCAAGGAAGTTGGGTTTACAATGATAGTTATCGCCCTCTTTACGACACCGCGACATGTCCGTTCATTGACATGGAGTTCGACTGCCAGAAGAACAGACGTCCAGATCATCTCTACCTTAGATACCAATGGAAGCCAAGTGCCTGCGAATTGCCAAGGTAGAATAGACATGCATGGATAGAACTTCTCTTCTAGTAATCGTCGTACTCTCACACTGCACATCATTTCGATCTCAGCCACCCTTGGTTTGCTTCTTTTCGTGACTATTTAGAGCACATGACTACTGTCGGCAGAAATTTGAAGCAAGAGACAAAACAAGGACAGGTTAAAACCCATTATTCACTTGTCGTCGTTATACACGTAGTTACCCTTAGAGAAGTTTCTCCGGAACATAGGGTAGCTTTTAACAGAAAGGAAAAATCTCTTTCGTGTGAAGTGTCTCAGTGGCATTGATAAGTCAGAAAAGTTTTCAAATGTCGCCCAAAAACAATTTTTCGCAATTGACATTAGAATACTAATCGGGTAACAGGTGATTGGGCTAGTCAGAGGACGAAAACAGTGGAATCTTCAGCATAAAATACTCTCTTTCGCACCACTTAGCCATACGGAGGTGAAATACTTGGCGTTCATTGAATGAAATGATGGTGCAGATTCAGTGGAGAGGATTTCGTGGGAAGAATGAGAGGGAAGAAGATACTATTCGTGGGGGACTCTTGGAGCTTCAATCAGTGGCAGTCCCTCACTTGCATGTTGCATGCTTCGCTTCCGGGCTCCAACTACAATCTCACTCGAACAGGAAATGTTTCCACCTTTTACGTACATGTAAGGCCTTGTTCCTATATGTTCATACTAACTCATAGCAATAGTTACGGAGGGAAATGGTTTCATTAGGTTTTTGTATGTCTATGGAATCTTATGCAATGCTCTGTGTAATGAGAAGGGACTAATCCCAATGAAGAGATGTCGATGGCTTGGACAATCTGTTCGTGTATTTGTTAACATGTTCCGAGAAATCTAATGATTAGCCAGTACACGGCGTTCCGTCGAGATTAAACGTACTTGAAAATCTATCGGTTGTCCTCATCTTCTTTAAGTTTTGAGTGTTTTGCAGGACTATGGCGTTTCTGTGGGATTATCTCGAAATTCGTTTCTGGTCGACCTAGTGAAAGAGGAGATCGGGAGAGTTTTTGAAGCTTGATTCAATCGTCAATGGCGATGAGTGGAAAGGATACGACATGCTCATCTTCAACACTTGGCACTGGTGGGTGCACACAGGCAGACAACAACCGTATGTACTTATAAAGGCAACTATATAGATCCGCCAGATTATTTCTTAAGAAATACGGTAATGGGGTAACGTATAGATCTTGAAAACAATGTCGTACTAAATTTATTTCAGATGGGACTATGTTCAGCAAGGAGAGACCGTACGGAAAGACATGGACCGTATGGTTGCTTTCAAGGAGGGACTCACGATATGGTCCATGTGGGTGGATTCTAACATCGATCCTACCACGACCACAGTGATTTTCCAAGGCATCTCTCCCACTCATTACAAGTAAGTCATTTTAATCAGCTAGCCTCTTATTCATGAGATAATTCACAAGCGATCGACCACCAAAATCGTCCCCCTGCTAATTATCTGAAATTGTTCTTGGTAATAGTTAAGCGGCAATGAGTGAAATGAGTTCGGGACCACCTGTGACGGGCAAATCGAGCCCATTTTGGGGTCCGAGTACCTAGCGGGTCCAACACCGGCAGCAGCGGTCGTGAGCGAGGATGGCAACGGAGGTGACTCTTACTCTTCTGGACATAACGAAGCTATCGCAGCTTAGGAAAGATGGACACCCCATCCGCCTTTGGGTCCGAAGGCAATAAAGGGAACGATTGCAGCCATTGGTGTCTTGCTGGTGTGCCTGATACTTGGAATCAATTGCTCTAAACCACCCTCGTCAATGGAGGTAGAAGAGTATAACATGACACAGCAAAGTTTGTGCATAAAATTGGAGTCAGAAAATTTTAACAATGAATGGCCGTATGTCATCTTCAGAATGTCGCGATGTTGCTCTGAAGTTTGCACCCATTGCTATAATGCTTATCTAATAATATTTTTCGAGGTAGTTTTTTATAGTTTGCATTATTTATCATATGTTTTTTCTGTTCATTTTCATAAGCACCAAATGTTGTCACGTGTATGTGATTTACTTCTTCTGGATTCGCTTGGTTAATCATGCATGGAGTCGCCTAATCTGCCTACTTTCCTTACACGTGCAAGTTTGGCTTCGTGACCGTCGATCAAAGTTCGTCGGGAGCTACCAAACGGTACCCATCGGCCGGAAAGCTAATCGTTTCTCAGTCTCTTCGTACTTTCCACCTTCACAACATTTCATGCCGTCCCCTTCTGAACACTTGGCTAGTTTGCGAAATACAAATTCAAAGTGACATAAATAATGAATTGCAGACCAAGCATGCAACTTTTGCAACCACCGCAGAGTTTATCCCGTCCCATTATAACATCTCAATTTATCTTACAATTTTACCGAAACTACTTCATCTATCATACCCTTATCATAGCGTAATTCGATGTCCCGAATTTTATTGTTTAAATTGTTCCGATTAAAATTATCCGTCTTGAAAAGGAGCTTCGTACGGGTACATAATCTGTGTATTTGTTATTCAGAGCACCTTCATTATACATAGGCTGTGTATTTAAATTTAATTAAAAAAAAATACGACCAATTTTTCTGACCGAACAAATTACGCGAAAAAGGAACTCCTGCGATTACAAAGACGGTGGGGCAATTTTCCTAGTTGTGTAAAAAACAGGGGCCGAATTGCAAAATGTGATTCTCTCTCTCTCTCTCTCTCTCTTCAGGAATCCTTTTTTTTGCCGCCATATTTCGGCAAGATACGCACGGCGCGGCATTCGCAGAGAAGGCATCACGCAGCAGCAGGAGCAGCAGGAGAAGAAGTGTTCTTCGAATTCGAGTTCCTTCACCGACCTCTCGATCGCATCTGCTCCCTCGCGAATCATCCGCCCCCCTGGTTCAGCTTTCGCATCGCCGCCGTCTGCTGATCAGCCCGGCTCGATCGACGCGGCGTTTCCAGGCGAGCTCGTTCGCAACAGGTTCGGCTTCTTCTTCGACTTCAGCTTGCCTCGCGGGAGAGCTTCCCGAGCTTCGGTTCTCGTTCGCGGCTCTCGCTCTCTCGACCTGTCGAGCCTTCCGTTGTTCTGGAATCTGTGCTGCGTTTGATTCGATTCTGGTGGATCGCTAGTTTCTGGAGTGAATTTGGCGAAGATCGACGCTCGAGGGAACGTAGAGTTTAGCCTGAGTTTTCCACGTAGAGTGTGAAATAAGGTGGATTTGATGTTTGTTCTGGATCTGCTGTTTTGCTGTTGTTGATTAGGTGAAATCAGGCGTCGGTCGTCTTCCCTTTTGTTTTCGCTCTTTTACTTGTTCTCAGCTCTTGATTTCGGTTGATTTTGGCGCTTTCCGGAGTTAGAATGTTGTCGAAGCTCAATCCGTGTCTGAAAATGAGTGCGGATCGTGGACTTCGAAGATAAACTGATTTAATTTGCTATATGGAACAGATTCACCCTCTCACGATAGCCGATACTCTTTTTACCTATGCTTGCCTTTCATTGGAGGATGCCCTATGGCCATCATAGGAAAGAGGATGTGTAATTGTGCATGTTTTGGAAGTTCTGAAATTTGAATAACCTTGACGTAGTAAATATGGGGTAACTTAGTGTGTCGTGATTGTGTTTAGCTTCTCTGATTAACTAATCGTTCCCGTCTACTTCAATACACATTCAATAGTATCAGTCAAAGAAACCAAAATCTGAACTGATAGACATGCCTCGGTGTGTTCTTTTTATACAACGCGAGTTGTCCTCACAGTGTTGAAACCCTGAATCTGAAATAACCTGTTTCGTATGCATACACATGGTTACTGCAGGCATGGTCACTACCAGGTATAATGTCAAGGTTTGTGCAGAGGAATTCTCGATTCAGGATATTAACTTGCACAAATCCTTTTCTCAGATGTTTGGTTACAAAGTCCAGATAGAAACATGTCGCTGAAGGTATCTTCTGACCGCTGAAATGAGATGCAACGCGTGCTGGCGAGAATTGGAAGGACGAGCTGTTTCCACCACCTGTGGTCACCTTTTGTGTATCCTGATTGTACAGTAGTTGTTTTGCTGTTTGGAGACTACTTGTTGCAAATAGCAATTTGCTCTCTTGTTGGATAACTTTCTGTGAATTACCGCATCAGAATAAAGTTCCCTTAACCTTGTCAAAGGCAATGAAGATGCTGCCAAGATTCTAAACAATGATGCAGCATGTCCCATTTGCGACCAAGTGCTCTCTAAGAGGTAAACTTGCTCCTGAAAGGAACCTTTGAACCTTTTGTGGCTCTTTAAAATGAAGGAAACTGTATTCTCCTTTTATATCAGCTATAAAAAGTCACCCAATCATACATGTTCATAGCTTTTATGTTTTTCTCAGTGGAATTACAATGCCATGTTGCTCGACGATGTGCATGTCGTCGTCTTTTTAGGATTGTATGTTGACGGTAGATGGGTGCTCCGGATGACAAATCAATGCTTTTAGTTCATGCTATCAATCTATTAAGCTTTCTTCTGTTTGCTTTTTTTCAGTCTCATGAAACCTGTGGATATAAATCCGAATGATGAATGGATCAATGTGAGTAAATTCATCCAAGTATTAGTCAAAGTATCTCATATTGTAACTATTTACAAAACATAATTTTTTCCTGCTTCTCACGTTACTTTGTAATGATCGTAACGTTTGAGATTGGTGCCGTGCGATAATGAACTCTCACCGTTGCAGATGGCTATGGCCGGAGTATCTCCGCAGATACGTATCCTTTCTCTTCATTCTTCAACTCTTGCACTTTTCAGAATTGAAGAAAAATATAGAGAGTGGACCGTTTTCCCATATATTTTACCTCTTTATCTATTTATATCTACATGAAACTTCCTTAAAAATCGCTAGTCATGAAGAGTGCATACCGTAGTGTGATGTTCTTTGTCGGACAAAAGGAACTGGAGATGCAATTTAAAATGAACAGAATAGTGGCTCAGTGCCGGCAGAAATGTGAAGTCATGCAAGAGAAATTCACGGAGAAACTGGAGCAAGTACATGCTGCGTATCAAAAAATGGCCAAGCGGTGTCAGATGATGGAACAAGAGATTGAGAGCCTCTCCAAAGATAAGCAAGAGCTTCAAGAGAAGTTCTCTGAGAAATCAAGGTCATGATATTCCAGGGGCCAAATTTTTCAATAATCTTTGATGGACCTAGTTTATTCAAATGGGAAGCTGAATTTGTGACAGGGTTTCCATACTAACACAACTCGCTTTTTATGATAGGCAAAAGAGAAAGCTAGATGAGATGTATGATCGACTAAGGAGTGAGTATGACTCAATGAAACGATCTGCAATCCAACCTGCAAGCAATTTTTATCCAAGAAGCGAACCTGACTTGTTTTCAGCCCCAGCTAACATGATTAATACTCCTGACAAAATGCGTAAAGGTAATTCCTTGTACTTTAGTATGATGCACGACATCACATGGCTTCTTAATACAAACATGGAAAAAGGTGTGAGATCAAATGCTGGATTATAGTTCTTTAGACTGATATGACCTCGAGAATTGGCCATTTGCTGTTTTAATGCTCAACTCATTCTTTACTGCTTAAATACTTCCAAAACCAGTTGACTTATATGTTGCAGATTGGTCCACCTTTCCTCCTGCAACTCCAGGGCAAAGAGAGGATGTATGGCCAGCAAGGCCGAATAGTTCGACCTCTGGTCCTTTTGACATCTCTGGGGGCTCACCTGCAAAACACCGAACCATTCCAGTTGACGCCAACAGCAGAAGGGTCGGTGGCGACCCTGTTTTTGCAGCCGGTACTGCCAACCCCTCAATGACATTAAGGAACCTCATACTCTCCCCCATAAAGAGGCCTCAGCTCTCCCGCAATCGGACTCAAATGTTTACGTAAGCCACAAACTCTTAAAGATGGAAAGAGGTAGGAACTAGGAAAAGAGAGAATCACTACATCTACCTTATGCATTTACTTCATATTTACGCAGGTTATAGTCTATAGAAGCAAGCACCTTAATCATCGGATTGCAAAGGGGTTAATGAGAACTCACATGAGATTACTGAGTGTTGTTGTTGAAGTGCCAGCCATTGACAAGTAAAGAGAGGGGAAGAGCACTTCATCTATTAGCGTTTTTGGAGTAGCTAGGCAGCGCTGTGAGGTCGGGATTTTGAGAGCTCATTGGCAATCGTGACTGGTGAAATGCTAAAGATAGAACAGCTCATTGGCAATCGTGACTGGTGAAATGCTAAAGATAGAACGGTGTCGGAAACAATGGCTTGTGTATAGCTGGAATAGCTGAAAGGATTTCGTTATTGTTTGTGGAATCTGAAGTTTAGTCCCATTTCTGTTAGCCCTAGCAGCGTGTGAAGCTCAGGTTTATCTGTGGTTTTATGGCGTTCAGTCGGTTTCTTCAACCAGAGCAACGTAAAATGGAATAACTTGGTGAACTTATAGGTATTGTAAGGACGAATTGATTGTCTCGTAAGGTTCCATGGTGCTTTTTCGTTAAATATTCGTTGTGTGCTGCTCTGGTAGTCAAACTAGAGGGTCAACATGTCTCGTGGCCAATTACACAGTGCCTTTGAAATCCAATATTTGTCCCTCCAAGCTGTCCCTTGAGCAACTTATAGTTGTTTGTATCCAAGTTACCATCTAGAGTGACACTTGACAGTAAAAGGTCGGGCGTTTACTTCTCTGGACATGATTTTCAACATTCTTAGATGACGTCAGATGTCGGCGACAGACTTGGAGGAGACATCATACCCAATTATATGACCCAATGTTTTGCCTTTTACATGTAATAATAACTCGCTCCAGATGGGAACACCAGATAGGTAATGGCCCCAAATCCTAGAGTTTGTATCAACAAACGCAATACAAAGTATAGATAGTTCACCCCGCAAAGAATGGTCCTGTACGAACTTCTAGAATAGAATGGCATACAATAGCCATATACACAATTCTAGCAGCTAATCAGAATATTTCTTGATTTCACTTATACTTAAAAGGCTTTCACCGATGATTTCAAAATGCCAGCTGAAGCTTGGTTTGCCCTGGCTCTTCATACATAGCTTTACCAGATGCAACTGCAATAGTTCCTAGCAGGCAACCTCGCAACCTCTCTAAAAAAATTTTCCTGAGACCAGAGACATTTCTCTATGACAATACATGAGAAGGCAGATACACTCTCAAAACTGGAGCCTTGGAAGATATCATTATGTTATCCCCATGTTTGATAGAATAACGCACATGGGAACCGTCGATATATATCACCCCCTCTTGACAAAACCATGCCGCATCCATAACCTGATCAGGCTTCACCACCCCATTCATCAGGCTTAAGGATGCGCCAGGTGATATAGGCTCTCTTACCATGTATTGGAGATCCTGACACAAGATGGGCATTCGGAATCCACCTGCTGAGAGCATAGCAGCTGTTGATCCAGCAGCTGTCGAAACCCGGAGGCCACTCGATCGGCAATTTACTAACAGGGAGCAGGGCTGGTCATCTTTCTTAATTCTGCCAACAGAAAGAACCATTCAGGAGTTTAGAGCAACAACCAAGAAAACAGGCAACTGAAAACTAGTGTTTACGCATTACCTCTAAACCTCTCACCTGAATGAGAAACGAGAAACTGCCGCTGGACATGGATGCGAAACCAAAATATCATTAAGAGCATACTTTGGCATCAAGCGTGAGTTCACACAGATTGCTATCCTCGTCAATTTTGAAGGAACCGATCTATCCTCCAGAATGTCATCAATCATCTGAAAGAAACTTAATATAATCATACCCTATTTCTAGCCTAAATTTTCAGCAACATGCTAAAGAGGGAGAACTGAAGAGCGTTATGCAAAGTAACAAATACTTCGGAACTATGCCATACCGAGAAGGAATCCACGTGACACGAAAGAAAAGCATTGAGCTAAGCAAGCTTGGAGTGACTTTCTGATGCTAAATACTACAAGAGCTTATGAAGCATGTAAAATCATTCAGTATCAAGCAATTTGATGTCATGAGTACTTGCATTGGTTAAATCACCATGACTACGCCAACCACCGCATCAGTCAATTCAACATCAATAAATCTGGCTTCATTAATGGTTGCTTTGCTCACACCACGGCAATTATGCCGACCACTGAGATCCAATATGAAAGTATTCACGTTTATGCACAACATGCACTAATCATAAACACGGAATGCACCAGAAAAGCTTCTAATTCCACCAACATAAACGAAGCAATTGCGCATGCTTACTTGTTCAAAATTATTGACATTAGCTGCACAAAGATAGCCCGTGCTTCGTGTGGCATCAAATGCATCATTTAGGTCTTCCACCTACACAGTGAACACAATGCACCACTGAAAACACAAAGCTTCCTGAAACTCGGCCGAGACAAATCATCAAATTGCCAAGCATCAACAAAACAGCTGAACTGACTTCCTTGGCTTGCGTGGGGTCAGAATTCACCCCGAGAACGGGAATCGAGTCATCCATAAAATGACTGGCCTGCAACAGAGTACCATCGCCACCGATCGTAACAACGATATCCACATTCCGTATCGGCTGCGACAGATCGTTTCGCAACACGGGTTCCCAATCGATAGGCTTTCGCTGCAGTATACTCTGACAGAACCTTATGGCATCCTTGTGCACTCTCCGCCGGTTGTCCAGATAGTCCAGAATTTGCGACGTCTTCGTGGGAAGGACAAATGTCAGTTGAGAAACCATCGAAACAGCACTCAGTGTACAGCCACATGCTGATGCTCTTACTAAGCCATCCAAGAAACGCTAGAGAAATAACTTACTGCGACATTGTATCAAACACCGCGAGCGCAAGCATCAAAGCAAACCCATTTACCCCACCCACCCTCAGAAAACGCATTGAGACAGAGAGAGACGAGAGAAGGGTCTTGGGTTATACTTGTGAATTGATGATCCGAGAAGCGTCGGAGTGACGGACTGGGAAAACGTCGAATGGTTTCAACAGCAACAAAAGCTTCCTCCTTGCCATCTTTATGTCGCTCTCGGAGCACGAGGCAGCTGTTCCTTCTTCTGCAGCTTCTTCCCTGCGCAATTCAATCGGCACGAGCCCGTTTACCTGCTGGATTGACGACGGCCCGCCATCGAAATTGGCACAGATACCGGGCCTGGCGTTCGATTCCGCTGGACCCAACGCGCGCCATTGCAATGCTTTTTCGCTTGACAAACAATTGACCACCTAGCTTACATTTGAGATAGTGGAGATTAGTGAATGGGGCCGTTAGTGGTGATTTTCCTCTTTTTGAAGAGTTAAATGGCGAAAATAACCCATGGATTCGTTTGAAATGGTAATGACTTCGATTTTGAGGTAATGTAGATTGGAGGACGAAAAGGGGAACCTCTTCTTAAAAAAAATCGGTATAGATGTATAAACCGATCATCAACTACGTGTGCAAGTTAGCACTTACGTCGGTACGAGACTTGCTTTAAGGAATTTAAATTTGTCATTTCTCTAGTAAGGAGCGACGTATACACAAATACCACCACCAACTAATACGAGATAAATATCGCGAATACTTATGGACAATGCACGATTTGCCAACGTAGACTTCCAAAGGACAACTTGATTATTTATAACGAGAAACAAAGACTTATTAAATATATGTTTTTTTTTTAATCTTGGGTATTCAAAATTTTCAATCTTGACTAGTTACCGTGCATGCACGCAAATCATCTCATTCACATGCATTAGGAAAACACTATACCCACGTGATGACGAGCGTTGCCCTAATGTTTCGCATCTAATTGATTTTTTTTTTCATAACTTTCAAAGTACATTAGAAATAGTGATATGATGTTTCGAGAAAATATTTAATAATTTTCATGTCCCATCGACACTCCTGCAGGGACCGATATCGACGTATTTTACATTATCTAGCACTTTTTTGTCCCCTTTCGGGATCCATGTACTAGTTTAGTTTGAATAATCCTTGTATATATCTCGATTCAAACCGAACATTTCATTAATTGGTTTGAGACTCTCATTGCTTTATGCTCAAGAGAGATGGCTACCTATTTTGCACTTTCGTGAGAATAAGCAAGGCCATAAATGGGCCGAAAAGTCGGACCTGTCCGTTCGTCATCACCAGGCCTATCTATTTGCCTCTTGTTTTCGTTCGAGTTCCACGCCGAAAAACAAATGAGAGAAAGCAAAGGCCCAACACAAATCCGCCAGACAACCAAAAAAAAAATTCATGAATTCAACTCGCTCTGTCAAGAGCATCACGAGTCGCCTAAGATGATCCCAAGGATCGAGATTCTTTAGAGTGGTATTTAGCCGAATTTAATCATCCAATTTTTCAATTTTTTTTCCTCTCCTTGTACGTGAAGATAATACGAGAGTAACAATCAGAATGGCACTATCCCCCCTCCAAGATATGGTTTGATCGTCGATATTCAGTTTGTCTTGTTGTTGTCCTGAACGGTGGGTGAAGTGACAAGCCATTCGAATTCAGGACCCAACACGCTTCTCTTGAAGGAAAATACCCATGGATGGATGCAGAAAGGTTCTCTCTCTCTCTCTCCGGCATATTCTTTCGTGCCATACTTGGTTCTTACCTTTTTTCTTTCTTTCAGTGCCATGATCATTCCCACTTTTATTTTAGAGGCTTTATGTTAGTAATCTCCCACTGGGGAATCTGATTCTAATGCCAATATTCTTCTTTTTTTTTTTTTAAGAGAGAGATTGATTTTGGATTTGGCAATTTTGGGAATTTTTACGCGGCCCAACATGATCTACGTCAAAAAAGAGAAAAAATCGTAGATACGTAAAAAAGACTTGGTGCCACTTCGATAAATTTGAGTTTTTTTTTTTTTTTGCACTCCCTAATCGAAGGGAATCAGCTATATGCAAAACTCGAAAGGCATACACAACATTGAAAGTTCCCCCCAAAAAACGGGCTTAACCTGCTTTTTCAATTTAATAACAGAGTCGGTAATGATGTGAAAAAGACATGTTTCGACTCTGCATGCAAATTATCACTCATGTACATCCGCTGCTCGTCACGATACTCATGAAGTTTAGATATACTTGATTTTTTGTCAACAAAAGAAGAAGGAAAGGGAAAAAAAGAATGGGAAAAAGGGTTGGCGTGAAGGAGGAGCACTGGGATAAAGGATCTTGAAATGTCAAAGGGGGTGCATGAGTGACTCAAAATCGTCGGTAGGACAGAAGGAATCAAAATAAAGCCGAGGGAATCGCTTCGTGCATGAAATGCGATACGTTCGAATCATAAAACACTCGAGACTGTCTCCTCTTGGGGGCCACCTTGGTTCCCATTCCACCTCTTCGACCCCCCATCAGCATCACCATCATCATCAGTTCATCACCATTTACCATCACCCTCCTCTCTCTCTCTCTCTCTCTCTCTCTCTCTCTCAATTCCTTTTGGATATGTCCATCCATTCAACGGAGCCTAAGAGTTTGAAAATTTTCACCATAAAGAAAGATGTTTTGGGAAATCATTTTTTAAGAAAATATTTTCCTCCTTTTGGACTAGGGAATTCGTCTTCCTAATTTTAACCGAACATATTTTCTTTGACCGCGAATGATTTCCGTTGACTGATCATTTTCAGCAAACTAAACTGGGAAAATTCACGGAAGATTTTTTCAGTCAAACAAAATGTAACTTAAGCTGAAGGCTTAGATGTAGGAGTTTTATATAAGATCCAAGTGAATGGTAATCATAGTCCTTAACTACTTAGGAGTGAAAGCTACTAGGTATCAGAAACTCCAGCCCACATATTAATGTGTCATCACAGCACTCCCAAGAGGAAGAAGAAGAAGGGGGCTTGAGAGGCAAAACACCATATGACGACAACGAGAGAAGCAAGATAGAGGAGAATTTGTTAAGTTATTTCTTAATATTTTTATCCAATCCGATTTTATCCCACCGTTGTACCGGATTTCTTATCTGACATTTTATCTGGTTCGGAAAACGTCACCAAACTATCAGTTATGATAATTCGTAATCTCATTTCGACTCGAATTCTAAACTACCAAACGCAGCTATAAGGTATTCCACTTTTTTAACGAGGATCATCAACTAATGAGAATCTTCTTGTTTGAAAGACAACTAATCATGTTCAAAAGTGACAAAGTTCACCATGTACGATCGTGCATCGGGAGTCACTGCATGCACAGAATGGGGACAAAGATAGCGACCAGACGGCAGCGATTGGCAATCGCAAAAGCTAAGAGAACCCCCTTTGGCGACGATTGGGTGATGCGTATAGGCAAGGCCACTGGCTTCCATTACCAAAAAGGTGGAAATCTAAAGGCAAATGCACGGTCGAACCACATTGATTATGAATCTTTTCCTTCCCTTCTGGCTCACACGAAAAGGAATCTGCAAAGTTGGTAAAGCGGTCACAATGGTGGTCACCGAAGCGACATGGATTGAAGTGCCTCCTTCTTTTTCGTGGCCAAAAGCCGTTGAATTAAGAAAAATATAGATATAGATCGATCTCCACGCATTCCCTTTTCTTTTTTTGTCGGTATCCACGCATTCCTTTAGAAGCCCGAAAAAATTATTTAAATTAATATTTTAAGTGCAAACCGAATTGAGAATGACACACGGAATGAATGACACGTGGAAGTCTCGCATGCAAAGGATATCTTGGGCAATACCTTACGGTGATATCGTGTTAAACAATCTAACCAGAATCTTAATTATAAATGAAAGGAGGTTGCGCGAATATGGGTACCATTGAGACCCTGTAAGCAAGTAATAAGACACCTAAAGATTCTCCAAACTAGATTAAACGAAAACCCGGTGGTTTGCATATAATTGATTTTTTGCGTAAGCTTACTAAAGTCGATTTACAAAATTGATTTAATAAGCGATGTATCGGATTTTGAATGACGGGTGGGCAATCAATAACAATCTAAAGCTTTATTTGTTTCGCGAAAAATGCGACATTTTTTAAAAATGCTTTCCAGAAAGTCATTTTTCAGGAAAATGATAATATTTTTCGATATTTGGTTGAAATCTAAAAATATTTTCCATTATTCGGTATACTATTCGAGCGTTAGTAACTTGCGCATGGACAATCGGGGAATCAAGTACGGGCACCAAAGTCCCTGGTCTGGCCTTGATGGACCCCATCCGCTAGGTGCCGAGATTAGGGTATGAGCACTCGGGTCTTGGCCCCTAACTTAATGGACCGAGGTGCGATCATCGGGTATCGGCCCCCGGCCTCGACGGACCCAAGCACGGACATCGAGGTCCCGGGCTTGGCCTCGATGGACCCGAGCACGGGTACCAGGGACCCAAGCCTTAGCCTTGATAAACCTTGGCTCGGGCACCAGAGACGTGAGCCCAAGCACCGAGGACCCTTGCACGGTCTTTGTGGACCTAGGCCCGAATGTTAGGGACCAGAGCTCAAGCTTCAGGGCCTCAAGCATGACCTTTGTGGACATAATCTTGGGTGTTGGGTATTCGAGCTCTAGTACCGAGATCCGACACTCGGCCTTTGTGAACTCGAGCCAGGGTGCCCGAGCATCGAGTATGAGCACCGAGGCTTCGAGCCAACCGCTAGGGGCTCAGGGCAAAGCACCGGGGTTCTCGAGCTCGACCTCGATGAACCCGAGCACGGGCATCAAGAACCCGGGCGTGGGCACCGGTGTCACGGCCCCGGCCTCGATGGATCCGATTCGGGCACCGGAGACTTGATCCTTGATGCTAGAACCCTAAAAATAGCATTGTGATTTTCGTACCCAAGTGTAGAGTTTCAAGCCAAATGTAGATATTTAGTTGTATTTTGGATAATAATTTTTAATTTTTTAAAGAAAAAATCATTTTTTTCGAATTTAAGTATGAATTTTTCATTGACTGGAAAAATATTTTATAATTGGCTCACTTTCGTAAGCGAACCAAACACCCAAAAATCCTTTTCGCGAAACAAACGGGCCTGACCACGCCTTGAAAAGACAAGCTGCGTGCGCCGCCCATGGCGGCCGGCATGCATGGATGAGATCACGAATGGTAGAAAGTCACGTTGTCATTTGCGGAAAAAAAAATAAAGGAGTTTAATCAAATTAATTAATCGAGCCCTCTTTACTTTATGGAACGGAACGCAAAGACACAGGCCACTCAACATTATTCGCGCGAATAGATCGATCTACTTTGCATGGTCGGGGAGACCCTATTCTAACAGAGGGAACTTTTCCGGGTGATGATGATTCTCGTCCCACTTAGTTTCCCAAATACCATATTC